TGCATGTGACACATTTAAAAATGACGGATTTGACAACAGTCCGAGCGCGCAGTATCCAGAACTCCCGCCTCAACGTCGCCAGCGTGAGTTGTAAACCTGCGTGAAGGGCGCAGAGATGCACAGATCTTACGAGAAGAGTCACAAGAGGATGCGACGCGAGGAGAATTGGATGTTTAGTGTGCAATGGGAGCGGAGCGTTTTTCAGTCGCCCGCCTACACGAATCAGCCCAGCGGGATCCAAGAATGGATTAAGTGACCGAAGCGTGCTTTTCCTCGGAAGCTGAGACTGATTTTTTAACGCGGTTAATTCCTGCGGAAACAATTCAGTCTGGATTTGTTGAAACCAGAAAGTTTTCGCCTGTTTACACTCGTCTGCGGTCAGAGCGGTGCGAGGATGACAGCCGTGAGTCATCGCGGCGGGTTGCCGGCGGCAGCGAGAAACAAAGCGTCTCACGTAAGCGGTAACGCGAATTAGCGTGTGCCACGACGAGAACCGCGATTTGAGGTCCCAGTCGGGAATTGATATGACGGAATGAATTGTCACCTTTGGCTCCAGCTCAGCATTGGACGGGATTGAGATACTGGGGACGGGCCAGTGGTCAGAAGCGAGGGGTAACCAGGGGGGACCGTGCCACCATAATTCGTGTTTTATGAGGTCGCGCCCACATAAGCCGCGGGACGCGCAGTCGGCCGGGTTGTCCTGCGTCGGAACATGATGCCATGAACTGGACGGAATGCTCGACTGGATCTCGCTGACTCGGTTTGCAACGAATGTCTTCCATTTCGACGGTGGTTGCCCGAGCCACGCGAGAATGATCGAGGAGTCCGTCCAACAGTAGCAATTCGCAGTGATTTTGAGTGAATTTTGTACATATCGGAGTAACCGGGATAGTAAGACAGCGGCCGACAACTCGAGACGCGGAATGCTTAGTGTTTTTATGGGCGCGACTTTTGACTTTCCCATTATCAGCGAGATCCTGGAATGACCAGACGTTGCGATTGATTTCAGATATATAACGGCGGCGTAGGCCACTGATGATGCGTCGGCGAAACCGTGCAACTCATACCGAGCCGCGGTTGTGTCGACGTCGATCCAGCGAGGAAGCTCGAGCTTGTTGAGTTCCGCTAGTTGAGAATATACTGTATGCCAGTTGGCCAATTGCTCGAGCGGAATATTGTCGTCCCAGTCGAGCTTTAGTTGCCACAGATACTGGAGGAATATCTTAGCTTTGATGGTAACGGGCGTCACCCAACCTAACGGATCGAAAAGTCTCGCGATCGTAGAGAGAATCGCGCGTTTTGATTGCGGGATTTCTGGAGGGAGAGAGACCTTGAAATTGAATACGTCCGACGCTGGATTCCACCCAATTCCAAGGACTTTTAGACTCTCGTCCGTTTCAAGCGGCTTGTTGCACGCGAGTCTGTGATTTTCGGGACTGATGTCGGTTAAAAGAGAGTTGGCATTACTTGCCCACTTGCGAAGCGCGAAGCCTCCTCGCTGGAGCATCTCCCGAAGCTCATTGCGTATTTGCCGGAGGAGCTCAGGATCGTTGTCGCCAAACAACACATCGTCAACATAGATTTGACTGTGCAAAATCTTAGCTGCGAAAGGAAAGTTATGACCTTCGTCCGCGATCAACTGTTTAATAACGCGCAGCGCGAGAAACGGTGCGCAAGCCGTGCCATAGGTAACCGTTAGCAGTTTGAATTCGCTTGGTCGGTCAGAATCGCGAGTCTTCCAGAGAATTCGCTGATAAGTGGTATCGCGAGGATCGACTAAAATCTGCCGATACATTTTTGTAATGTCAGCGGTGTAGACGTATTTGAATAAGCGCCATTGCAGAATAATCGCGGGGAGATCCGTTTGGAGCTTTGGTCCGGCCAGGAGATGATCATTAAGGGAGGAGCCGTTTGTAGTGGCACTGGACGCGTTAAAAACGACACGTAAATGCGTGGTCGAACTATGATCGCGGATGACGTGATGGTGTGGAATGAACACGCATTGAGTGTCTGGCGATCGGGGATTTGTCACCTTTTGCATATGCCCGAGGTTTTCATAGTCTTGAAGAAATTCGGAATATTCCTTCTCGTGATCCGCGTTCGTCCGAAGGCGTCGGAGCAATGCATTGAGACGCGTCTCTGCTATGCGATACGATTCGCCGATCGCGATGGGCGGACTCGTTCGGAACGGAAGCCGGACAACGTAGCGGCCGTCTGAGAGACGAGAGTGCGTGGAGCGAAAGTGATCCTCGCACCTCTCCTCCTCAGGACCGTACGCGGTGTGTTGAGGAACTTCCTCGACCTCCCAGAACTGTCTGAGTTCTCGATCTAGCGACAGATCGTGGGAGCAATGAAGTGAGGTACTTTGAGCGCAGATGCGCCCTGCACTCTTTTCGTCTGACTTGGTTTGAGACGAGAGTTCGGGACATGAGACGGGCCCGGAGATCACCCAACCAAAAATCGACTCCTGCGCGATAGGCCGTCCGACCGTCGTTTTGCGAAGCCCGCTCAAAATTATATCGCCATACACGTCCGCACCGAGCAGAATATCTATGGGCGCCGAGCTCATGGGGTCATTGTCTGCCCACGAGAGATCCTGGAGCCGGTCGAGGACTGATTCCGCGGGAAGGCGTTTCGGCGAATACGCCGTTAAAGTATTGAGGA